CGTGTAAACAAGCATTTTTCTAAATTAGGAAATTCAGCAATTCTTCGTCTTTTACAGAGAAGACTTTCTCCCGACTCGAACCACTTTTCATTGCTTACTGAGGTGCGATGCCCAAATTATTCGTTTAAGTTATAGAGGGTTTTTATTTTAAGTAATAAAGGTTTTGCACTCCGAGGGGAAGGGAACACAAAATTTTATGAATTTATAGAGGTTATTACGTTATCGAGGTTTAAGTTATCAAGGTTCTACTGTGTTGGTAAGGAAATGGGTCAGTAATCCTAGCTGCTTACAAAATAGAGACATGAAGGAGGATCGTTAAATATTTGTTCACCAAACAGTCTTTCAAAGGTCGTATTCTATGTACTTACTTCTTGACTTATCAAATGCATTTTGTAATCGTTTGTTGTTTACTTAGAAGATAGTTTTACTCATAAAATTAAAAATTTAAATAACAGTGTTCTTATACCTACATTTCACTTTTAATGATATGTATTTGCTTTGATTTGCTTTACTTTACCAGTTCAATGAAATTCATTTTGGTGTAGTGAAATCATGCACTGATTTTCTTTTGTTGTCCAAGTTTCACTTTTACAAATTGGATATCTTGCTCACATTGTTGTACAGAATTTCTCTTTTTTTTTACGAAATTACATTTTTAATTTGTATTGCAGTCGAAATGAACAGTAAAAACTAATATTACTTTACTTTCTTTTATATCAATAAACTATAAAATATCTCAATTGAAGATCATCAGATTTTATCTACTTTCAAAGAAGTAGGATTTAATAGTACTGTTTGTGTCATTGGTCGGTACATAAATGAGATTTTCCTTGAATATCAAATAAATAGTTTTAGTGCACAGTGCACATCATAAAACGGAGTGTTATAAACTCAACTTCAATATGTGAATTGCAGATAGAATTCATTAATTCTGGAATGCAGCAGGAAGTTGTTAGGCGAATGAGTCTTATTATCGTTAGCTTCACTACACATGTATATGTGTGTATGTCTATTATGTATACCTGTATTCGTTTTGAAGTGCCTCTCCACTGTTACATAATACAAGTTAATAAATGCAAACACTCGCAAAATTCTAATTTTCTCCGTTTCTGAGTGCTTTTAGACTTTCAAATTGCTCTCAGTGTCTTAATATTGTACATGCAATAGTATTCAACATACGAAATTTGTACATTTTTATGAAATACTTGAAATGTAAGGTACTAGGTTTAGCAAAAAAGCTCGCACTGTTAGTTACATTAGTTTAGATGTATGGGGGTATTTCCTATTAATGGCAATTGGTAGTATATCAAATCATCATCATCCTTGCTACTACCTGTGGAGTAAAAATAGCAATTCGAACGATGCTACGAGCCGGACGGTAGGTAATTAACCGATAGGTTAGTGTGAAAAGCTCCAACCTAACGCAAACACAACGCAATCCAACGAGTGGCATTTTGGTTTGGTCGGAAATGGTTTGTACTTTCGTTTTTTAAAGATATTTCCGTTCATGTTTTGATGGCCACATCCATGAAGTTTTGGTGTGNAGCTCGCACTGTTAGTTACATTAGTTTAGATGTATGGGGGTATTTCCTATTAATGGCAATTGGTAGTATATCAAATCATCATCATAATAAAGTCGTCAGTCTTAAGACTGGTTGGACACGTACCTCCACTCTTTCCTTTCCTGAGCTAAACTTCGCATTTCCCTAAAACCAGAACAACCCACATCCTTAACTATTTGCGAACAGTAATATAATCTAGGTCTACCTCTACCCCTCCTAACTCCTGTTTCTGCCTCTAATATGTCTCTGACTAGACCTTCATGTCTGAGAAGGTGTCGTACCAACTTATCTTGCCTATTTCTTATTGACCTCCACAGAGTCCTCTGTTCTCCTATTCTTTCTAATACCTCTTCATTTCTAACCTTTTCTATCCACGTTATCCTCATCATTCGCCTATAACACCACCTTTCGAACGCTTCTAGCCTTTTTAAATCATATAAGTACGAAAAATAAACCAATTAAGTAAAGAATATTAAGGTCTTGATCAGCAATTTATCGATTTTGGATTGCGATTTCGTTAGTATTAGTTTCTAATTACGCAATCTCGATAGATCACCAACTAAATCGAAGTTACTACATTCAGTAGCATGGTGCATATAGTTTCAAGCTGTTGGCAGTATACCACTAAAGGCACTGATGAGTATTATAAGTCCGAAATCGTAATCCATATCAGTAATATATATTTAATTGGTTGGGAGAGGTATTAGAAAGAACAGGAGAACCGAGGACTCTATGGAAGTCAACAAGAAATAGTCCAGATAGGCTAGTAGAACACGTTCTCAACTATGAAACTCGTCAGAAACATATTAGAGGCAGAAACGGGAGTTAAGAGGGGTAGAGGTAGACCTACATTAGATTAATGTTCGCAGATAGTTTAAGATGTGGGTTGTTCTAGTTTTAGGGCAATGCAGAGATTAACTCAGGATAGGAAAGAGTGGAGGTGGGTGTCCAACCAGTCTTATGACTGACAGCCTTATGATGATAATGGTCCCTTTACAACAAGACTTTCCTGACACTAATAAGATACATATGTGCTATAGCCACTGTTAGTAATAAATGACAATATACTGCCAGTTATAGGCGTTCGAAATCGCCATCTGGCGTTCTCCGTAAATTGTTAACTAAGGGTATAGTATTCTTCATTTCCTGTTTACCTAAAATCTTTAATTTGACACGAAGGAATGGCTTCACGGAGAAAACTTAATTTTTATGACGACTCAAAAATTACAATTTTCAATTGTAAATGACTGAATTTGCCGTAGAAATAGTAGAATTTATTAGGTATCTTGTAATAACCGCTTTAATATTTAGGTAAATTTTCTATTTTCATTTTCTCCGAGTTGCAGCGCAACTAAACGAAACATCCGGAAATCATTAGTTTAGGATTCCCAAATAAATATCCAAATTATCGTCAGTTGATTATTCTTTTGAAGATTCCTTTTCATTTATATATTTTTGGTTTAACTATTCTTATACGTATGGAAAGCGATAAAATGGAATGAGTATCTTTGATGATACTACTGAAATAGCAACAAGGAAGTTCAACTCGAACACGAATGCGTCTTGCAGACAAAGCACAGTGCAGAAGTACAATGATATTTTAATACTATATTTCACTATACGGCTATATGAATACATGTATATAGCTAAAGAAACCGAAAAGAATTACATGGAATTTAATTTTTTTAGGCTGACGTGGAGACGTAAATTTTTGTGCAGTGTTTAAAAGGATTACAGCTATAGTGGCATTATGATATTGGCAAGTAAATTCATTTTCAATTTTTTACCCACTATAAACTACCTCAGGTTAAAGAGCATTGGTAAAGCCAAAGGCACCGGGTGCGATTCTCTGCGAGGGTGTGACAACAGCAACAAATTTTCCCCCATTAACCTGAGGTAGTTTATAGTGGGTAAAAAATTGAAAATGAATTTTCACATTTATTTTAATATAATATTGCATTACAAGCTGATTGTTTTTTATTAATAGATCTGTATTTAAAATTAGGAAGTGACTTGATGAAATGCTAGTTTCCATAAAAGGTTTAATAGGCTTTCACATTTCAAATTATGTGTTTATAAAAATATGGCTATTTCAGTATGCTACGTGTTTGGTTAATAAACTTTTTCTTGAAGAAAGTAGATAAAATTAATTATTAGCATATGTATATAAAAGCGAATACTTCAATTTAAATTTAGAGAGACTACTTGGCTATAAAAATAAATAAAATTAATACATAGTTTAAATAATTTTTCAGCAAACATCAATCTTTCAGAAAAGCGGCACTTGAACAATTGCCAAGAAATCAGAATAAAAATAGTCACTTTAGGTTAGTAAATGTGGAGAAATTTTCAGGTACATACATATCTTATTTAAACAGGATCGGAGATGTTTTCACCAGAAACTAATACAGAAAAGCACATTTGAATTTAATGTGATAATACTTACTTATCGTTTTTACAGCCATGTTTATGTATATGTTACGAATTAATTAGATTTGTTCATTTACCTACCAAATTTTCCATCTACAAACCGCTATTTTATGGTGGTACCCGCACAAAAAAGAAGTAATTAATTATTAGAATTATAGTCAGGGACGTGTATTTAATTCCAATATCCAATTAACTATCGACAATTTACTTAACCTAATTTAAACTCATTTATTATAGTGTTTCAAATTTTTCTTCAAAACCTAATTTCTACTTGCAACTTTGTCATTGACTTGCTATCAGATAATAAGTTTTGTACTACTAATGGTTCACGTACATGCAATACATGTATTTTTGATACCAGAGTATATATATAGTATATTTACGTACATGTAGATAAACGTTCATACATACAAGGTTTATATTATGCAATTACAATGTAACAAATTTGTTGTTTCTATACGTTCGTACACACTGCAATTGCAGTTGATTGTAATGTATTATGCATGAGCATATGTCAATTGCAGCTCTGTTTTTGTCAGAATTGATACACTTATACGTATAACATTAGAATGTTGATCAAATTTTTCCTAAAAGTTTATTGGTTTAGTGAACATAAAAGCAGAATAATTACAAAATGATTTACAATACAAACAATAACATAACAATAACATCTTAGCATTAGGTTAGTCATGTTCTTGGAGATTTCTTCCTTGTTTTAGCGGCAAAGAAATCGCCAGGACCTTGGCTAAACAGCCGGGAATCTACAGTGATTGACTGATGTGCTTTTCTTTTATGAAACAATATAGATGCTTTCTTGATTCTTTTCGAGAAAATTCTTTTTCATCACACATTCTTTTACGGTCATAGATAGTTGTACAAGATTTTTTATAATTATTTTTCTTATTTCACATAGACAATAAGGCTTTGTTATATTTAAATTTCCTTATTTCTCATTTATATTATTTTTTTGTATTATTATTTCTACAATTCGTTTTCTTTCTTTTGCAGATATCATGAAAATCATTCGTCGCTGCTTTCGGTTAATCGCGTTAAGTAATAATTTCGTTTTCGTATCATAATCCGAGCCTTTGGTCTTTCAAGGCCAACTTCGGTACTAATTATTCATGATGGCGACAACAGCTCGTAGGCGCGATCCAGACGACGATATTGCAGCCATAGCTAAGCAGATTTCGGATCAAGCCGAGGCAATTTATCAAAATTGGAAAGCTCGTGGATTAGCACCTGCAGAAATACTTAATTGTCATGCTGCAGGAGATACTTCCAGACTAGAGTAAGTACATTATCCCAATTAAAGGTACATCAATTTACTCTTCGACTTGCCGTAATAGTCACTAATGTAACCGATCGATAAGTAGGAGTTTAGCCTGTTTTATACCCTGTTTGTGATTCGTTGAATTTTATTTTAAAATTGTTGAAATTTCGAACAATTTGCCAACAATTTCAGTAAATCCATTGATCTAAATATACTTCATTTACTTTCTCTAGCGATGTGCCCCTTCCAATGTCTTGGATGCTCGCTGGCAAAATCGTAGGTAGGGATAAATAAGCTCATTATACTCTCGACTCTTATTCATTAAATATACTTTTTCATACAGTACCTGCTAAAAGTTTTGTTCAATCATGAATAGTAGTGCGAGTCGAAAATAAGCGTTAAAGCCTTTAATATGTCTTTAAGTATAAATAAACATATCGTTGATATTTTTAGTAGTAAATGGTACCAATAACAGCACATTTGAGCAATGAAATTGTAGTGGATAAAATGGTCAATTTTTCCGTGCAGTACTGTACGGAGTATACGCTCCTCACCGGTTAAGAGTTTGGCCGAGAGTCGTCTCCTTCCTTTTCTGACCTAGTGCTGTTCTTTTCTACTTTGCGCCGGTCAAACTGAAGGTCACATCGCTACAGAAAGTAAACGAACTATAATATTCATTTTAAACCATACTCTATTTCAAAATTCTGGACATTATTTACCTTTTATTTAGTTACACTACTGCCAGATTTCGAACGTAGCACATCATAAAAGCAAGTTGTTGACAGTATATTGCCATCTTCTGGCATTTACAACTAACTGCAGCATTTGTTTATACTTCTATTGCTCTTTTCTTCTTACGATTAGTTCTTCACAATTTACTTTACAAGGTTTTTTTAACACCCACTGCTCCAAAAACTTTTAAATGGATTGTTTGCCAAACGGCAAAAAAATTACCTTCCACAACATTACACGGAAATTCCTAATTTATCTTCGTTTTAGAAATAAATCTGCTATGTTTAAATCCAGGAAATTAATCACCTGTAGGCGTTTTATCTTTTACTGATTGATTTATATCTACCATTTACTTGTATACCTGTGTGTAACTTAAATTATTCCCATTGGTTATGTAACTGCTAATAGATACCAATTTGTTTAGTGTCCTGTTTGCAGATAAAAGAAAGAGTTTTGTCAATTCTAAACTAAAGAACACATTAGAATTGTAAATGTACCTACCTGATGTTTGTGTGTGTGGTTTTACAAGGATTTGCTTTGGTCTCAAATTGAAAAAGTCCGGCCTAGAAAGGTCAGTTTTAGTTTTAAATTTCAATCTCACTATCAGTATTACAGTTATTCTTTATACAAACATATGAATGAACTTTTAGTTTCTAGAAAATGAAAAGTCCTTTGCATTTGGATCAATTGATCGAATCTCTGAATATTGATTTTGTTTAATAATATTAAGTATTTTCAAAAAATAAAAGATTTTATTGGTGAATTTATAAATGAACTGATTTTATTTATGGTTTAATGACTTCATAAATTTCAATAGAAGGTAGGTATTGTTGATCAAATACCAGAAGTAATTCGTCGAAGTGTGTACCTACAAATAGTGCAGCAATTTCCTGCAGTTTGTATATGCATGTGCAAATACGACATTCAGTTTGCAGTGAATCCCAGTGGATTTTTAATGAATGTCCCTGTTCGTCCTTCCGCAAATATTGGAATCCCTGGCGTTAAATATGCGACTACGCATCTTAAGCGTATACATTCGAAAATTTGCTTTCATAATTCATCTATAAATACACTATTTCGTGACGAAATGCAGCCGGCTTTTGGATGATCCCATTCAACAAGCTCCAATCCCAATGATTCAACAGGGCGTGGTGGACGTCCATTTGGATCTCACGGATTATAGCGAATCTTTTTAACGCTATTTATCGACGCGATCTCCTGACGAAGACGCGAAAAAAAAAAAACGAACGATTTCGAAATTAAACGTGCAAACATATCGATACCGTAACGGAACTTGATACTTGAAGATCGTGTTACAAGCGATCAATAGATATTTCATCCGGTGTAGATTATCCTGTCGACTGAGGTTTTTTATTGGGAACCGAAACCCGAAAGGGATCTCACCGAAATGGTGGTTGTTTCAAATCGTTGCAGCTTTGGACAAAAGCGCAGGTCAGTTTTTAATTTTTGTTCATTAACTGAGAGATTATTTTTCCGAAATAAGAAGATAGTTTTCAACGATACAAAATATTGCATAAAGTTTTGCAGCCAAAATGTTATAAGTATATATAAATAGGCAGAGGTGAATCACTTTTTAAGTGTTTACCCAGAATTTTGCCAAATGTTCATAGAAGTTTCAGCTGATCTTCGGTGTGCTTTCGTTTGGTTTTTTTGTTTTAAACTGTTCCCTTTAGATAAAAAACTAACCACAGTTAATAATTATATTCATATTTTCTTTGAAATGATGAATATTCCTGCGTTTTCACGTTCAAAAATTGAATAAAATTTAAAGCAGATAAATGGAAAATCTCATCTACTATAAACTGAACCTATGGATAAACTTCCTGAAGTTTCATGCATGGTCGTTTGCGGGTATAAATATTAAATCTTGGACGCTATCCAAAAGAATAAACAACAGCGTGTTTCGTAGTTTGATTGGCCCAATTTTTCAATTTATTTTTAAATCCATCGAGGCGAAAAAATTACAACAAAATGCCATAATCTTATCTATCATAAGAAGATGTCTTGAAATAGTATCGCATAAAGTACATATTCTTGATACTATTGATGGTAGTATTGTGAGCTATCAGAATTAAACATTAAATCGAAAAGAACATTCATGAACCCACAATTCACAATTAGCTGTAGTTTTTTACTTGTAGAGTTGACTGTTGACTGAGATTTTGGATAAAAATCGTACCGTTCATTGAGGAAATGTCGGTTATTGAACATTTTTGACAATTTCTTCTAATGTTGACCAAGTTATGATCCAGAAAAGCCTAAAACATCGATGACCAATAAATGTTTTTTTCAGTAATTGCCACTAGAATTTTATGAATAATTTTAGTAACCGTTTTATAGTAGAAGAAGGAAGTACTGGTGCTTTCTGTTTTTGTATCTTAGCATCAGAAACAAACAATTTTGCCGTTGTGCCTCATACAGCACACAAAGTCAAGGAAATGTCGGATTAGAATACTCAGTCGTGCTGAAAGCAATCGGCGACGATACAATAGAGATAGCTTCTGGTTTTATCGTTTCATCGACGTGTTGTCATCAGCAGAAATATTTCCTTTGCATTCTAATAATATTATTTCACACCCACTTATACATTTGTACGTCTACATCTACATCTGACGACTAATAATGTCAGATACGGCTCCGTTTTGTTATTTACATCGCATTGTGCGGTAAACAATAGAATAGAAGAATATGTTTTGTTGCATTCAACGGCATTAGTTATTACGATACCTAGGAAAAAAATGATATGAAACACCTGTTGCACTTACTGTATTTATGAGTTTTTATGTTAGGTATGTACGCATCTAGCAATGAAGATTGTTTAATATACTTGTTATAGGCAGTTATCGCCATCTAGTTGGTATTTGCTGCTACCAAGTACTGAAAGTACAATACTAATTTGTATTCCTCAGGGAAGAACGTCGTCTATTTCTGTTTCTTCTATTTGTTAATCTTTAACTGTGCATACAATCTATTTTCAAATGAAAATTTATTCTTCTCTGGCTCAGTTTTTTCTTTTTAGTTTATTTCAAATGTACCAGTTAACAGGACCTTGTCTCCTTCACTAAATCAGTATGCCAGTAATGAGTTCAAATTCGTAGTCGACAAATTTTTCTTAAGCTTAATTTAATTTTCGCCAAATTATCCTTAAAGCGCGACACAACCAAAATTTATGACTTCGTACTTCGTTTCTGACCTGCCAGGATCTTCTTGCGCAAATTCTTCGCGAAAAGGATAATCCGGGATTTATTTGAACGTACGTTTAGGTTGGTACCAAATGAGAATATATTCTCGAAAATGGTGTGGTGTCAAAGAATCCAACGAGACTGCAAACTTGTTTCGTCACAACGCAACGTTGAGACGTATGATAGGTAGACGTATCCTGTTCTTAATTTGGATCGTCGAAAAAAGCAAAGGAGAATATTTTTAATTTCGACCTAACCAAAATTTACTTCCACTAGATCTCTGCGGGTTTGCTTTTCTTCACGAAATTATTTTTCTATTTTCGATTATTGTTTTGTCATCGATCTTCAATCTTCTTCGGAAATCTTCTTTGTCTGTTGAAACTGATTCATTATTTTTTGGAGATTAAAAAAACTCTTTAAAATCACAGTATCCTTATGGATATTGAATGTGCTTTTTCGTTTTCTTTTTGTTGAGTAATCTAGTCCCAATTAAAAAATACAAATTACTTTTAAACCACAATTAAGAGCCTACTCTAACAAATTGCCCTGTTATTACACAGAATTAAAATAAGTTCCTGTAAGAGATAGTCTAATGTATGTAATTAGTGCGCCGTTCTAATTAAGAGATACAGATCTGGACAATTTTGTTGAAGGCACAAAGATAAATTACTACGTATTATTATTTTATATAGTATATTGTAGATGTACGTAGGAAGCGTCGTCGTTAACGTTGGTACTTACTTGGCATAATTGCTTCGTCAGTTTTCCCTATATGAAAAGGCCAAAGTGCATTGGCCATTGTTTTAAATAACACCAAAGGCTAGGTACTCGAAATAATCGATAGAGAGTGAAGATGAAGACGGAATCTTCATTTGTCACTGTCATTTGTAATTTCTTATAAATCAAATAAATAAAGGAGTAACACAACACAGAAGCAACAGTGGTTACTGCATGGAGATGTTTCTTTGTATAAATTATTGTATGTAAATTAGGGAAACTTTGTATGAAATTTAAACCCTTCTGCTCAAATATTCGTATAACAAATCGTAATGGACACACTGTTAGGTATTTCATTGAAACATTTGTTAACACTTCTTGTTTCCATTTTTGTATTAAAGGGAGAGGCATAAACAATTAATAAGCATTTATTTAAATATTTCAGTCGATGAATACGAAAAAAAGTAAATATGAGTGATACCCATTATTTCATCAAAATCTGAGGTTGGCCGCTCCTTTATGTAGATTATGAAATACATCTTCACAGATGGTTTGTTAAGCAAATAACAAGGCATTGCAGTCATCATTGTTATATTAATCGTATTGGTGATTTCAAATTTTTTTTTTTCAAAACACCTTATTAATTTACAACTACATAAAGTATTATCATACAAATTAAACTTTTAAGATGGTTTGTTAAGCAAATAACAAGGCATTGCAGTCATCATTGTTATATTAATCGTATTGGTGCGTTCAAATTTTTTTTTTTCAAGAATTGCACACAGCTGAGCATGAGATCGTTATAATCCAAAATTCTGAACAGTTATTCCTTTTAGAAACTTTAGAAAATAGGTACACAATAATTCAAATCTAGTTAATAATCAAATACTATATCGGCATACAATTCTCCTTTCATTTTCAAATTGTAGTAGTATGTGTATAAGATTAGTTTATAGTTTTAGGATTTGACAATATTGTAATTCCTCTCGTTAACGACCATGTAAGTTGAAACAAATTTGTGGAGGTTCTCAAACAAATTTAGTGAAACTTCTATTGCTTTTCATTAATTACATTAGGGTAGTTAAAGAAGTAATAGATGCCGATAAGTTTTAATTAGAGGTTTGAGCATCACTCAATATAAACGTTTGTCAATTTTAAAAATATAAAATATTGTACTTTTCTTTAAAATTTTATTAGGAAAGAAAAACTTTGTGCGACTAGTCGAATGCTACCGACAGACGTATCCTACATAATTCCGATTTCGCAAAATCTGTATTATATAATGAAATAGGAAGCAAGGGTATTTGATTATTTTTCTAATAATTTATTGATGTTGTTAGTAAAATCTCCAACAAGCAAACTATATTACAATACCATCCTTCTTTGTTCACAATATTTTTATTATGCCTCGAAAAACTCAATTTTAAACAAATGGTTTACACTGCGGAAATTTCTAAATCCATCTAATTTGTAGCTTTCCATTAAGGAATCATTTCACGTGTTTATGACGGCGTCAGAAACTGAAATCTGAGGATTCATGTATGATTGGAAATGACGAAGTATTAGAAAGAGTACGAGAACAGAAGGCGATATGGAAGTCAATAAACAATAGAAACAGGAGTTAAGAGGGGCAGAGATAGATTCATCATCATCATAAGGTTGTCAGTCCTAAGACTGGTTGGACACGTACCTCCACTGTTTCCTATCCTGAGCTAAACATCGCATTTCCCTAAAACTAGAACAGCCCACATCCTTAACTATTTGCGAAGAGTAATCTAATCTAGGTCTACCTCTACCCCTCCTAACTCCTGTTTCTGCCTCTAATATGTCTCTGACTAGACCTTCATNATGAACGGTAAAAAGGACGTAATATTCATGGCTTGCATAGTAATTATGTCCTAAATTATAGGCTACGGTATCTACTATTCATTGTTGTTATTACTGTAATTGTCGCAATTTAAAACCTCAAAACAATAGATAATGAAACTCAAACTGTACCAACAGAAACACTTTGTTTCGCATTAGAAATAGAAAGCGGGTTACATTTTCTAACTAGTTTAAAAATAATTCATTCATTAGTATTTTGTCCATGTAGTCTGAAATTCTCCAGACTGCAAAAAATCTTGTAATGTTTCAAAATGCTAAAAGTAAACAAATTAAAAATATTAAAACTATCGTAGATGTATTTGTGTGTGTGTGTGTATGTTTTCTACGTGTGTGTGTGTGTGTGTATGTTTTCTATGTGTGTGTGTGTGTGTTGTCTTCGTGCGTGCGTGCGTGTGTGCGTATATGTTATCTGAAGGGGGTTACAATATATATTTCCTGCTTGGAGAGCATTCTTAATCTCTGAATACTCTGAAACTGTTCCTCTAATCCCGTGGAAACCTTTTGCTGTTTTATATTGTTGATGTGTTCTAGTAATATAGTTTACTAATAGTTTTTTCAAGTTGTTTTTTTATTATCAAATTTGTTGAAACATTCTTGTGTTTTATTTAAAAATTAAAAACAGTATTACGTATTAATTAATAAAACATAAGATCGTCTCGTAATCATTGATAAATGTTCTTCATAGTGGCGAAATATTACGGATAATTTTTTCTTTTCAGTTCAATGTTGAAGCCGCAGCCGGTGGCGAAGTCGTCCATCGAGCTGTTAGCCCAGTCGCCGACGATGGACAACAATAGGCTGGAGAAACTGGTGAAGAACTTCGTGGTCGAAGATAAAGCTCGACTAGCGGCCCGTAACAAAAATATGGCCTCCAGCATACAATACGCGCTGCAGAAGTTTGAAAAGAATGCCACGGCGCATTCCGATCACGATAATTACGTTGGGGTACGAAAGGTGCCCCTTCGAACAAATAATTACACTCCTGTTTCCACGTCGGTTTCGACCTCCGTCACTACCACCATGAATAATAGCGCCACCGTACCTGTTGTACAGGTAAAAATGTTTGAACCATTTTTAATTATTAGATAGTAATGTGAAAGGATCCATCATAATTTTATTAAATCTGTTTTTTCTCTAAAGGAAACCTAAACATGTCAACTGTGTTTAGTAAACTTTTCAATAAGTAAGACTCCTAGCACATTTACTGTTAAAAAAAAAGGCGGAAATCATTTTAAAACTGAAAAATGGTGAAAAGTATTCATACATGTCTTTATATCTACATTTGCCTGTAACGACTTCCGGATATAACGACGAAATTACAGTGGTCCCTTTATCGTCGTTATACCCGAAATCCACTATACTTAAAGAGAAAAAGAAAGAGGGCATATAACAGTATTCGTAAAGGAGTTTTAGACAAGGATGTACATTGTCATCGATACTTTTTAAGATAAAATGCGATAATGATAATACAGGTGTTCTGACAAAAAAATAAGATCTTCGCTTGTCATCATCTCCTTACGAGAAACAAAAATACTTCAATTAGCTGGGTTAAAAGCAAACATCAAATATGGGTGTTAAGGGGAACGGTGCTGGTTCAAAATAGCACACAGAACTCCTTGTGCGGCCCAGTTAAAGTTATGTAATATAAATATAAATATAAAGGATACTGCGACGCGCTGGATTAAAGATCCTGACAGCTCATTTGGTTGACTTCTCAGCAGTCGACAAAGACGATTTTATTATTATATCAATACATTTTAATAATTAAGATAAAAACATAAATCCATAATATTTTGGCAGTTTTACAGCTGTGTAGCACCTATACATCAGTTTTTCTTTGCATGCATGTACGCACGTATATCTATGCGAACACGCCATTTATTATAATTACTATTATTATTACGTTTGCCAAGCTGCACCGGTTCCGTTAGCTTGAAAGCCTTTCACGCTTCCGGTTTTTAATTAGGTATCTTTGCATATACATATACATGGTTAAATTAATTTCGTAAAATGCAATCGATGCCCTTGTTCGTGATACGAATGACATAATACAACATTAGAAAACGAAACGAAGGTTTACAAAAATACATTTCGACACATCATCATACGTGACGCTGAAATATAGGAGAAAGAAATTGCAGGTCGTTGTACCAACTATAAAATAATAATTATTTCGAAATTGTTATTCATTGCAAAATGGAATACATACAGTGCGTTTGGCATCGCGTCTGTAAAAAGTTGAATTTGTATTTGAAATGGTCGTTAACTTTTACAGTGTTAAAATAGAACGAAACTGCTCATTAGAATCGATTGTTTCAATACTGGATTAATAAAGATTCATTGAAAAATAGAGTGAGAAACTTTGAATGAAACCATTAACTTTATTCGTTACTATTTGTATTGAAATGAATCGAATTCGTTAGCATTTGTTTGGTTCCACGTTGTTACTGTCAGGCCATTGGAATGACAAGCTTAATTTCTTAATTTGCTACATATCAGAGTTGGGCAGAGCTTGAGTCCAATTCAAACTCTTTAGGCTTAGTAAACGAACTACTTTTATGAAAGTGCTTTGTATAATTCGAAACTCAACGGGCTTGAAGTTCTGTTAATGTGCTTGAAACACCTTCAAAGTAGGTACTTAGGGATTTGAACCCATTTGCTTTCAAAGTAATTGTAATTCAAAGTCCTCGTATCTTAAAATGTATGTAAATGGGGCATCAAAGACTAATGCACTTTAACTAAGAGCTTTGGACTTAAGGCTTGTAGGTTTGTAAAGGAAGTTAAATGTTTTTTGATGTGTTAGATGTGTGAATATTTTGCCATAGGGTCAGAGATATACAATATTTTTAGTTTGATTGTTGCTTTAATTCATCTTTTGGAGCCGATTGTAAGAATTTGTTTACGATAAGGATACCGCATCTTGTAATTTGTAATAAATCGGTCAAAGACATTTGTTAAATTTTTATAGTTCGTGCATGGAATGTCTGTAGTATGATTACGAAATAATAACGTTTCCATTTTTATTAATCATTGATATTAAATTACTACCAGTATAAAAATTGAAGCTTGCATCACCAGTTCATGGGCAACATATCACGTTCTCCTGCTATTATTACCGAAACATGATACCTACCTACCATTTTAATAAAGTTCGTCCACGGAAACATCGAATACCAAAAGTTGGCTACGTGTTAAACTTCAATATGAAGCCTAATATTTCAGATAATAAAAGAACTCCAGCATTATATACTATGAAAAAAATATTCAAATTCGATAAAATTACAAGGATTTTAAAGAATCTAAAATATCTCTGCTGAAGAAAGTGTCCGATTCGTAGGGAAAATTACGATGACTAAAACACACCTGCAGGATTCACTTTAATATAGAGTTTTAATCACCAGAAAAAGAAACGTAAATAAGGTTGGGGAGGGGGGTGGTCCACCCCGAGTGGCGACCTTCAGGAGGCGGCAGATGCCGCACGTTATGAATNATTCAAATGAAAATTTAGACATTTTCTTGTATATGTAACTTTTAACGTACACATCTTTATTTTTATATATGTATTTGTTGACTGTAGCTTTTTGTGCATAATTAGACATTACAAAATAGAGCTTTTAAGCTCGTTAGAATTTTCCGGTTACGTTTTTGTTAAATCGGGTCCCCTTGCTTCATAAACCCCTTTGCGCTTTTACTGTCGAACGCATTCTTAATGTATTGCTTTGTCGGCACTTCCTTTGCCAATTAATTACTTATTCGGTATCAAGTAAGCGTAGGTAGCCCATATATTAACTCCATGTGATCTACAGCGAAAGCTTTTAAGCTTTTTCGTTTGGAAGTCGAAGTCAAGAAGAATTTTAATCAAGATGATGCATTTTTATTCAATATGTAAATTTTCCGACCTCATTTTGTTAATTACTTACCGGAAATATAATGCATTCACAATGTACATGCCTGCATATGACTTCTATTCTACTTTGATTGAGTTTTAGATTTATGACACAAACAAGGGACATGATGCATTATCTTCTGTTTGTTATGCTTATCCGAAAATTACAATAAATTTAAAGGATAAAAGCTAGCAACTTTTCTTCTATATCCTACAACGTATGTTATGTTCGTTGTAATGTTTGTCGTTTGCTGACGGTGTTAAAAATTTTAATGTTCGACAGCATACACGAGTAAAAGCAGAGGTGCATTGCGGTAAATTTCTCATAGAATTTTCCGTTGTTTTTATGAAACGAGGTAAATAGACTAATCAAAAATCAATACTGACGAGTTATAAACATGAAAGCAGTAGAAGACAATAAAGTCGGAATGCAGTTGCTATCAGCAAGGCGCGTATTGTACATAAATGGACGAAACAAGCAAGTTCATTTCGTTAATCTACTTGATTAAAAAGGTGTACGTACATACCTGCTTTTATCCACCATCGCATCGGTTCAATTTATCTTCGTTAAGCGTTTAACTATGTTGCAGATTGATTGTAAAACTTCCGCATCCAAAGTGCCCATTAACACGCATCAAGGCGCCTGCTAGCTTTTTATGAAAATTTCTTGATCGTCACGCTCACCTACTAGATATGTATGTAGGTATACTATTTACCATCACGGGCTTTTGTACCTATGTAGATGCCTACATACCGCAGGCATCTACATTACTATTACATGCACATTATCTTAGTCATCATACACCTTAACACTACATGTACCCTAGACAAAAATCTTCAGTCTCTCTCCAGTCTTTCATAATAATTATTTCGAAATTGTTATTCATTGCAAAATGGAATACATACAGTGCGTTTGGCGTCGCGTCTGTAAAAAGTTGAATTTGTATTTGAAATGGTCGTTAACTTTTACAGTGTTAAAATAGAACGAAACTGCTCATTAGAATCGATTGTTTCAATACTGGATTAATAAAGATTCATTGAAAAATAGAGTGAGAAACTTTGAATGAAACCATTAACTTNCATACACCTTAACACTACATGTACCCTAGACAAAAATTTTCAATCTCTCTCAGAGTCTTTCAGCGTCTCTGAGAGTGTCTCTCACAGTCTCTCAGTTATTGCCCAGGTGTTTTTATGGATCTCTCAAGAGACTCGAACGATAAAATTGTTAATTGAGAGATTCGAGTCTCTCTCAGAGACACTGAATGAATAAAACTGAAAATTTGAGAGACTCGAGTCTCTCGCAGAAACACTGGGATCTCTGAAATATGTTGAACTTAAAAAATTTTAACCACGTCTATCGAGAGACACCACTTATTGAGAGATTCGAGTCTCTCGTTCAGACTGGATACGAAATGAGGATCTCTCTATGAGCGACTAATGTGTCTCGTTCAGAGACGCTAAACAGTTTTTTTGACAGGCTCTCGACAGTCTCTCTCAGCGACACCAGAGAGACTCAATGAGGGACGGAGACTCGAGTCTCGCTTTCAGAGACTCTGAGAGACTGAACATTTTTATCTCGGATATACATATGTATGAACCTATCAATACTTATGGCATTATTGTGGTAAACCATCGATTTTCTAAAATAATACGTAACCTGCGTAGGAGGATTAAGAAGCGTAAAAACGTGCAATTATTTTCAATTCCTATTTATAAACTGTTACAAAGGAGAAAACGTTTTTAAAAAATGAAAAGTGAATCTAGAAAGTCTTAGTAAATGTATTTCTCTTTGATTAGATCGATAGCTCTGCAAAAATAACCATTTTGCTTACGTTGTAGCAGCAATGGTTTTTGAATGCCCTTGAATTTTTAAACAAAACAAACCAATCGGCGATGCGCGTAATAACTGGGTTGAGCAAAGACAGATCATTAATCCATTTAGTCCTTAAAATTACATTACTCACGCCCTGCAATGGAATAGTATTCCGTTCCAGAATGAATTCCGTCGTTTCTTTGAAGGACCATAAGATTGAATTAGAAAATTGATGATAGTTTATTTGTTTGTATACTTCTACTTAACAAATAATCGTTCGTTATAATCAGTATGTATTGATTCATTCATTATCCATTGAAAGTTCGAAGACCTGCGATCGCTACAAACTTT